ATTTTTATTTTTATTATTATTATTATCTTACATTTTATACTGTCGTGTCCTCTTGTCTTGGGATAAGTACGAATGCCGATTTAATTGAAGAGATTGCGCCTAGAAAAGATGATATTGTTGTGTTTAGATCAATAATTATAATACTCTAATACTTACATTAACATTTGCGCTTTCCATTTAAAAACTGATTAATCTATTAATATTACTTCTCCTTTATGTAGCCTAAAACTAATTATTTACTATTTATGTATTTGTTTATCTCATTACTACTTGCATTTTTGTCGTTCGTTGCTGCTACTCTTGTTCTTTTTTGCTGCTTCTATTGTTGCTGCTTCTATTGTAGCTGCTGTTACATTTGTTGTTGCTGTTGTTGCTTTTTTTTATAAAATCTGTTGTGGCTGTCGTCGTTGCTGCAGATGTTATCGCTGCTGTTGTTGCTGCTGTTGTTGTTGCTGCTGTTGTCGTTGCTTTCGTTGCCTATGCTGTTTAATGTTGTTTGCTGCTGCTTATGATGATGATCATGGTTGTGATGATGGTAATGGTGTGATAATGCTGATGACACATCGATGCTGCTACTGATGATAATGATCATGGTTGTGATGATGATAATAATGGCGTGATGACAATAATAATGACACATCGATGCTGCTACTGATGATGATGATCATGGTTGTGATGATAATAATAATGGCGTGATGATAATGCTGAGTATGTATCGATGCTGCTGCTACTGCTGATGATCATGGTTGTGATGATAATAAATAATGGCGTGATGATAATGCTGATAGTGTATCGATGCTGCTGCTGATGATAATAATAATCTTGTCCGCGCTGTTGAAAATTCTAACAACATTTTTACTGGTCTTCCCTTTGCCATTTTATCATAAAAGATTCGATTCAGCTCTCGCCATACGCATTAATCTAACTCTATTAAACCTGACCATCAGACACTGGACGCTGGACGTTTCGATGTCAATAATATTAAATACTAAAATAATTTCCCCCTAAAACACCAGACGAAGAGGAAAGAGCCCGCGCGGCGAAGCAGAAGTTAAAGGAAATGGATATAGACAAAGCAAAGCTAGTGATAGGCGGCTCGCGAGGCAGGGTGGGATACGGTCAGGCGCCTGATTACTTATACGGAGATATGCCATATGACTCCTCCGCGACATCACCGAGGCCTGGGGGCCACTCACCTCGAATGTCACCAGTTTCCCATCCCAGGCATGCTATTGGTCCTCCACATCACATGGTGCCCCAACAAGGTACTGATAAACTATTAGTATAATATCAAAAATGTTAATGAATTAATAATTCTTTATACATTATCTAACGTTTTTTAAAATTGTTTAAAAATTTAAATGTCTAAAATGCACTTGCAAACTTTCAACGTATACATATACAAGTTTCCCATTCCATTATTCTTATTCCCACAATCTCTTTTTATATTCCATTTCCCATTCATTCACTTCATATTCTAATCTAATCTCTTCTAGACCACATGTATTCTTCCCCTTTAGTTTCCCATTCTATTATTCTTATTCCCACAATCATGTTATATTTCATTTCCCATTCATTCACTTCATATTCTAATCTAATCTCTTCTAGACCGCATGTATTCTTCCCCTTGAGTTTCCCATTCCATTATTCTTATTCCCACAATCTCTTTTTATATTCCATTTCCCATTCATTCACTTCATATTCTAATCTAATCTCTTCTAGACCGCATGTATTCTTCTGATATTCCACGTGATGTCGTCCCCTATGACAGTCACAGAGCTCTGTACTGTGAGTTGCACTTAATGTTCACTCTTAACTTTGCATGCTTCCTCCACGTTAACTAGTTTTCTAGCTTAGTCTCCTTCGCAGATCCCTGTAACATCTTGAAAGATAACCGTGCCTTTGGCATCGAAGCGAGAATGGCGGTGACCTTGCAATGATAGAGACTTGTAAATAATTGTCCTAGTTGTTAAAAAAGGTCTCTGCCATTGCTAGGTCACCACCATTTCTCGCTTCGATGCGCAGGTACGGTTATCTTTCAAAATGGCGCAGGAAACTGTTAAGAGGACTGTTGTTAAAATCATGATGACGCAACGCGTAACCTTCTACTTGTTCGTCACATGCTTCGTTCTTTTCCTTGAACATTGTACACGGATGTTTTTTTTTTTTTGTTTTTTTTGAAGTTTAAAACTGTGGTTTAATTTATTTTTTAACTATAAAAGTAAAAGCTAAACTAAAGTAACACATGCTGTCATGATAAGCAATGTATCTCTGCAATCACATCACCATGGCTACAGTCACATCATCACAACACCGTGGTTGCACTTATTACATCACCATGGTTATGCTTATTAAGTTACCATGACACTCACCAAATCACCATGGTGATAGAATCATATCACCATGGTTACAGTAATCACCATATCATGGCCACCCTTATCACATCACCATGACACTCATCACACCACAATAGTTACGCTTATCACATCACCATGGCTACGCTCATCACATCACCATGGCTACGCTCATCACATCACCATAGCTACGCTCATCACATCACCATGGCTACGCTCATCACACCACCATAGTTACAAACTCTTTCACATGGATCAGTATTATATTGCTACTTCTTTCTTTTCTGATATTTCAAATTTCATTGCGTTACTTTTCGTATTCTATTTTACAAAAACTGCAGTCCACAGTCTTGGAATGTTTTCGGTAAAGCATGCTGCATGTTATTTTCTCGTCCGTCGTTTAACTGTAACGAATGTGTCTAATAATGGAGTTATTTACTGACTGTCTGTTCGTGATTGATCAATTGGTCTCGTTTTATTTTCTGTCTCAGCATTCCTTAAAGATATAAGGTCTGCTTTTCTGACCTTCATTCCTTCAATTTTTTCTTATCTTTCTTCCTTTGATGCTTTCTTTTTTTTCTGATTTCACATATGGTCTTTTTCCTTTTCTTCTTATTAGTTTATTCTTTTCTTTAATTTTTTGATTCTTCTATTGTTACATTTTTTCCTTCCTTCCACTTTCTTTCTTTCTTTCTTTTTCTCATTTCTTTCTTTCTTTCTTTCTTTTCTTTCGCCACTATCTGTTTGTTGCCATACCATTAACGAGAGTACTGTGTCCCACATTTCCAACCATCCATTCATTTCCCATTATATCTCATAAATATTCTCGGTGCTTGTGTCCCTCATAGCATCCCGGGGTGCACCTCGGCAGCGGCGCAACAGCACTAGCATGATCCCTACAATAGAACAAGATGGTCATCGTAGCCCAATGCCGTCAGCCAGCCCCGTGCCTCTTGTACAGACAGGCAAAAGTGCTAGTATCACTTACCTACCAGCAGCAGAGGGAGGAGAACGAATACCGAACGGTATGTCAACTGCAAGTGGCGTCAATCATATCCCACTTTCATTTTATTCATTCATTATTCGTCTGCGCAGAGTTAAAGCCGGTCTACTGGTTGTATTCAATAACAGGGCACGTGACGACCATTTCCCGTCATTTTGAAGAATTTTTAACGCTAGCATTTGAATGATTGTCCACTTGTTGATCGTTTCCCGACATACACAGTGTTTTGATTTATTGCAATAAGAAAATTAAATCACGGACAAGAAAATCTCTCTCCCTTTCTCCATCCCTCTTGGGTTTTTTCCTCCCCCTCGGGGAACCACCTCCACCACAGTTAACACGAAAACGTTCCTATGATCATCTGCGGTCGATTTTGGCGGGAAATAGTCACGTGACTTGTAAATTCCATTCTCCTAGAGCCTTTAAGCTGCTGCAATTTTCATGAGCTGGTTTAGCGTCCTGCGAAGGTGCTCACTTCATTTCATATTAATTTCCATGCGACCTGTTTCACAGTTTGCTCTCATTTTCTTGGCTTTGCTTCACTCATTGGTTCTGAGATACACCCAACAGCTCACGCCGTCTTAAATTAAATAAAACAATTTGAAAACGTTTAAACATTAAAGAAAGAAAGGTTAACACCTTCAATGTAAACCTAAACTACATCCTAAATTTTCTCATCCCATCCCATCTCATCCTATTATTTTCCACTAATCTTCCATTCCCACTTCTACCGTGCTTTTTTCACTCTTAATTTTCTCATTTTCATTTAATGACGAACATTTTAAAAAACTACTGCAGTTTTAAATACTTGAGTATCATAATTCCTATTTATTGATGAACTCGAATCTTGAATCTAACTAATATATTGTGGGAATCTTTTTCTGACTTTTCTTGTTGTTTGTAACATATAAACTCGTAACTGTTAAAGGGTTTCCAACTGGGTAAAACCAAGTAAAGGTAAGTTAACAAGCTAATTCTCTACCGAAATACTTGAAACCAAATCCTAATAACTTGCTCACTGATAAATTTATAATTACCTTCTTGAAGTTAAAAGCTATCCTTCAATCTTGTTCGACTATCTGCCATGAAAATCTTGAAATTTTTAAGTGATTGTCTGCCAAATCTTGTCTGAATTATCTTTTCATTGATTCTTGTCACGCTTTGTCGATTTACTCTCGGCTGCCATTACAAATAGAATATTTTGGCGCAAGGAGAATGTATTGAAGGAAAAAATATAAACGAAATGCGAATATGGATTTATCTTTACGTCATTGTGTAATGACAGCGAGCCAATCAGAACTCGTTATAAGGTTTAATTTTTAACTGTTCAAAAAACCAATAAGATGAGTCTTATGACTCGAGACTCACCTGCACGGGCTTACCTCGTTTAAGGGCAAAACAATTGCATAAGTCAACTTTATGTAAAGAATGTGCAAGTTGACTTATAAACGAGTTTAAACCTGTGCAAATGAGTCTGTGGTCTTTAAAACTAGCGGTATGTATCGAATATGAAGTTGGTGTATTTTGTAGCGTAAGTAGCTAATTAAAATCCCAAAGGGGTGTAACATGATTGACAGCTGTAAATCAAGGTAAGCTAATTAACTGCCAACAACAACTGACTTGCTCACATCGTCTCTTTCCCCAGGAAGACTGCCATTCGACCAAAACATGTCAGGCAGTTTAAACAATCTTGCTGTCTTGTCTACAGGCGGGTTTATAAAGACTTCAAGCCGTCAGGTTATGCGAAACGAGAATTACAGTGGAAGCGGCAGAAGCAGTCGATCGTCATCCATCGCTGACAGTGATCGAAGTGGAAGTATGAATAGCTTACCTGGTTCTATTGCCAGTAGTGAAAGTGGAAGGTTAGTGCATTGAAATATATATATATATATATATTGTTTTTTTTAATGCAACAAGTCAAGTGATCATTTTCCCGCCAAAACTCAAACTACACTTTAAACTTGCCCAGTAAAAAAACTACTTTATTAATTATCAATTTAACTGATTAACAATTATTAAATTTTGTTATAAATTTAAAATAAATTTTCAGTTGAGCATTAATCATATATTATTGGACAATAAAAATTAAGGATACGCATTTGAAATAAATTTAATTTGTTGAAATTAAAGTAATTTTTTCCCTAAATATTTGTTTGCCGTAAAAAATATAAAAAATATTGCAATATTAGATATTATTATTATTATTTTATAATTTATAAGTTTTCTTATTCTAATCTTGGCTAATCAGCTCTTGTTTTTATTTTGCTCTTTCTTTCTTTCTCTCTTTCATTTCTCTCAGGCACGGTCTATACGCAATAATGAACGCTGAAAATACCATGTTAGTATGACTCAAGTCTTTCTTCTTTACTCGTCCTGTCTGTCTGTCCACCTGTCTGTCTGTCTGTCTGTCTGTCCACCTGTCTGTCTGTCTGTCTGTCTGTCCACCTGTCTGTCTGTCTGTCCACCTGTCTGTCTGTCTGTATGCTGTATGTCAAAATTTACAAGACTATATTGATACACACGCCGCTCGGCTAACCAGGTTCCAATCATGAAATCCAATGCACTGTTTTACCATCTCGAGGCATTCTCATGAATATATTCGTGGTTTCACGCGGGGGTTCAAGGAAATAATACTCAAGGGAATGACACGTGGTCTGAAATGGGAAAACATGATCTACTGCGGAAACGTAAAGCAATAATTGCACACCCATTTAGCCCTTTTGCTGTAATTTTAAAACGCCTGGTAGATATGGATTATAGTTTAAGTACTCTTATAAATCAATCTCAAGTACGAGTCAAAAAATTACGCTTTGATCAACGAGGTATTTAGGATGAAACCAGTGATATTAAAATGAATTTGAAGATCAGAACATTTTCCTTTCGCTAAGGTTTACTGAGGACTGGAACGACAAATTCCTCGTGCACGGAATTGTGGGTACTTCGCCATCTTGTTTTCGTACTTACCGCCATATTGAATTTGAACTCCGGCGTACTGAACTTACAACATGATAGTGCAGTTTTCGTATGACTGTGAAAAGCTCACGGCACGAACACGGTCGTGACACAGCAAGGGATACGCCAGACCAATCACATTGCACGAGAGTTTACTCTCCATCCAATCAAATAACCGGAACACGGCATAAACACAGCGCGGACACGGTCACGCCAAGGTTATGGCAATGCCAGACCAATCACTTTGCGCGTGAAAAAAATCAGCCAATTAAAATTCTAGAAAGCATCACGGTCACGGCACGTCACGCTTACGGCACTGAGCTTTTCACAGTCATACGAAAACTGCACTATCGGTAGACAACACTCAAAATTATTTCATTAAATCTAAGATTACTGTGCATTACTCGTAAAAGAAATCTTGTCTTACATTTTCCTAGTGTGTTCGTACTGAATTTCGTATGTTGATTGGTATTTTGGTGGCGACCATCTTGGTTGAATTTCAGCACAAAAAACATTCTCAGTCTCTTATTATTTTTCCAACCAACATTGCAGCCACTGTCTTTTACTGTCTTGAGAATTACTAACTATAAACCAACTATAAAAACCTGGAATCCTTGAGAGTAAAATTCAGTTCCTATAGATTTTCCATCGATTCAAAATTGACAAAATTTAATAGAGTTTTTTCATGTTTCTTATTAATGCTAATACTTTATTTATTTATTTTTACGCCAAATGAATTATGAATAACGTGTAGATGTGTACTAATGTGTAAATGGATTCAAATGGCTTTCAAATATCTTTCTATTTACCAATTTTTTTCTAAATGAATGTTTCCCAATAATTTTTTTAGCTTACAGTGCAGCAGGAAACTTAAAAACGCAACAACAGCGTTTGGTTTTACTTTATTTTGTAAATAATTTGAAAATGGTTTTAAATAAGCAAAAAAACAACAACCAAAAACAAAAAAA